TGCTTAGGGGGCCAGAACCTGCTTATCATTTTAATGAAGTCTACTTAATTCAGTGGAACCCTCGAGAAACGAGTCTCGGGTCACAACGGTGGGAGGCGAGCGCTCTCACCACAGTGCCATCCTACTCCAGAAATCAATCTTAAACAGTCTTAGATCTTATTCAAATTTAGTTGATATGGGTGCAATAGGAAAACTGCGGAAGGAGCGTTTGTGCTTTTAAACCATTACACCCATTCGGTTGTTTTTTAGTTTTTCAGTTCAGAATCAACCATTGTGGCTGTCGGTTTGGCACATTGAAGCTATCGTCGTATGGTTTGGATAAAAATGTATTGGGGTTTCTTGTTAATACATTCTAGAATTCGTCGTTTCCATAGTTTCAATATTTTAGGCGTTTTATTTGCATGAAGCTTGTTTTTAGCGAAAATTTCACATCTGTTTCTTTGCTCAGGAGGTTATCTCTTAATTAGCTGTCAGTGCTTCGTATTGTATAGAGCACAGTTGTAATTTCAGCTCCCAAGACTAAGAAAACACAACCAAAGGAGAATTTAAGCGCGAAGCTTTTTGGTTATAGAAGATGGAAACATTTGCTCAAGTTATTTTTCCCCAAACGTTCCAACACTGTTTTTTCAAATACCCCTTTACTTTAAAGGAGAGGGTTACTTTTAATCTTTGAAATATCTAAGACTTTGGGTATTTTCATCATATAATTCCGTTTTCACTGAGTTTTAGGAATATTCGCTTCCCTTTATATGTTGTCAATTATTTCAGAAAAGGATAGAAGAAATGCCGAGAAAGCGTGCGGTTGAAAGGAGGTTATATGTGCCTGTAGAGAAAAAGAAAACATAATCGACTATTTTTGAATACATCAAACAATCTAACTGTGTCCTTATGGCGGGCGGTAAAATATATCTAAGACTTCCAAATATGATTGGTCAGCATGTTGCTACAAAGAGCCTTAAAATTGACAGTTCTTTGCAATCAAGTTGCCGTCAAGTTCTTCGATTGGCCAACAGCCCTCTAGAATCAAGAGAGATTTCTTTTCATCTGGTTTTTGAGGACATGGAAGTTTCACTCCATTTGTTTTTTGTCGCTTTGGCGTTCCCGCTCGAACTAGTTTTATCCCGTCTAGATGACAGGTGTTTCCTTTGGGAAAAGTATTTACTTTATTTTTGTCCTCTAATTTATTCAGTCATGTCGTTTATTAGAGAGTAAGTACGAAAAGCTTTGTCCATTTCAAACATTATAATCTCTTATCTATTCTATGGTATCCTTGATTTTTTTCACATTCTGTATGTATATTTGAATGGTTTATCGTCACTATCGAAGTTATAATCCAAAAATATTAACTATTTCTCAGCTCACCTTATATTTTCACTCCTTTTTTTTCTGGACTCTTTAAACAATGAAAATCAAGGAAAGTTTTGACAAATGACAAAGAGTTTCCTAAAGCATTGATATCCTCGCACTCACCCAAGAAGGAACCTAAGGATATGGAGAGCCTCGCAAGCTGGTAAAGAAATCTGATGAATTCACCACCTGGATAACGAGGAGTTTTGAAAAATATAGACATCAATGGTGATTGTGTTGATTGTAGTATTAGTAGAATCAGAAGTTTTCTTAGTATTAGTAGTACCAGTAGCAGTAATAGTAGAGGTAACGGTAATAGTTGCTCCAGCAGCAGTTGTGTGGTAAACTGAAGTTCTGAGTGCTGTCGAGATGATATGATAACTTAGGATAAAAACATTTGTACTTACCCCTAATTTCTGAGAAGAAATTTTATTTCTATTTCATCCGGTGATTGGAGGGTGGTTGAGAATCCAAAGCAGCAGTCTTGGGAGGGGTTAATTTCCTGGTTTTGGCGTGAAGGCGATTATCGCCAGCCTTTAAGCCAGCCCGGCCGGTAAAAATGGAGGAGGTTTAAAAACGTTAAGGCGAGCAATGCGATGCAGGCCAGGGATCGGCCCATTGGAGGGTGAGTCACCGGAAATTGTTTGTCCAAGGCCGGGGAAGTGGGGAGGATAGGTTTTGGACTCTTCAGCCTATTTTAGTTTTCCCTTTAAACACACAGCTGTTGCTTTCCAGTTTTTCGATTTTGTCTTTTCATAAAGTATAAAAGCACTTTTTTTAAGTCTCAGGATGATCCAGTGAAATTTTCAAGGGCTAAAGGAGATCTAGCGACAGATTGTCTGAAATCGTCGGAAAAATTAAGAAAAGAGAGCTTCAATGTTATGCAAAAGACCTTGCTACAGCCACGTCCTGATCACGTGCAAAACAGTAGATCTATGCTTTTTTCTTCACGAAAAAAAATCTCAATTAAATTTGTTTGAATTAAATATGGGAATGGGAAAAGTCTAAGGCATTAAGAAACTTACAAAAGCTTTTTTTCCTTTGCAATTTATCGTGAAAAAGTAATACGCTTTGCTAAAAGTTTCTGGCATCTCGCTTCACAAGGGCTCCGCTTTCTCTGATTGCAATTTTGTCTTGGATGTGGAAGTTGGTATTTTAGATAACGATTTTAAACCCTTTTCATTACGTTTGATGTTTCCATAATCATTTGACCACGAGGAATAACTAATTAGCAGACAAATAAATAGTCTCTTATTTATAATCGAAGGCACGCTTTACATTCGAAGCTCCAAATTGCCTTTCTACAGAATTATCACCAGGGTTAACCACGAAAATGAAATGAGAAAATTAGTGAGACAAAGATACGTTATCGTTTTGTCGCTTATTCAGTTATCCTGCGGAGCCTAATCTCATACAGAGCTCAAGATCCACACACAAAATGTAGATGAGTTAAGATTTGGTAACAATAACAACGGATTTTCCTCTGGCGGAGAGACAGTGTTAGGTTTCTAAAAGCAAAAATGTAAATCCCAAAAATGGAAAGGATATGCAAAATATAAGAGGGTATATTGCATCATTATACTTCAATTCTTAAGGCTCATGCTTAAGGCAAACAGAAAAGATTGGTCCTTTATCCTTAGTTTTTAAGAGTGAGGTTTTCAATCTTTTTTCGTGCTTTTTGAATGGATTGTAGATGACAAAGTGAAAAATCTTCCTGGTAAGAGGGAGTTCATAAGTCTACGCATTGGTGCCTTACATTTCAATAAATAAATGAGACTTTATAAACAGATTGGTTACTTACGCTACTGACTCAAGACAGTTTGTTTATGAAATAGAACAATAACATCTTTGGAAGAAAGAAACAAATTACAAAGCGACAGCTGGCGTATTTTGTTAAAATGTTCATTCGGGGTTTTTAAAACAAACCTATTCTATTTCTAAGCAGCCACGGGTTTATTTCGATTTTGATTGATTGAACACAAAATACTTCAAGTGGTCAGTTTTTTCTTTTTTCAATAATAGCAAAATTCACACCGAGTAAGAACGTCAGCCTTTTGTTCCTTCTTATTTTGTTTATCCTATACGTAAAAGCTCTTTCTCTGCAATTCTTGTTATAAGTTAGAATTCGCTCAGATTGAAGAATAAAAGACGACCTGTTTTTTCTCAGTGTCTGAAATCAAGGATAGATAAGTAAGCCATTTCCGAATTGCTTTTGGCCTCTTTTCGAAACAAGGCCTGGTGCTGAGTCATTCGTATGAGTGTGAGTTTTTAAACCAAAATTTGCATGGGAATGATAACGAATAAACCTTTGAAAGAATGTGCACCAGGATGTGCTTTGAAAAAGAGGCTAAAGGTAATTCAGAGATGGCTTATTGTCTCATCAAATGCAGTCAAGGTCCAATATGACTTTTGTCTTAGCGCGCTTTGTGAAAACTGTTCTGCTTTGATTGAAGAACGTGAGCTTTGGCAGTGGGTGATCTATTTATGTACGCTCGTGTTGTTTTTTTTTTATTAGTACCTTGGAAATAACAAGAAAATTTAACGCAAAAGTTGTTTCAAAGGTTAGTGGTAGGCTATGGCAGATGTCGATCGATGGCGTTTTACGCGTGACCGAAAATCTTTCAATCAGGAAGCCTGAAAAGTTATTTGTTTTTGGTTCGAACGAAATTTTCACACAGGTTTGTTAATTGATATCAGAGCAAATTAAGTCTATAAGTAATCGAAGAGTCACTTGCTGGGATTTTCCCCTGCTTTCCGAATTTTCTAGGTTATGCATTGATGCATTTCTTACTCTAAACTGTCTCTCTTGAATTATCTCCAGATGAAAAGTTTGGGAAATTTTAGCGTTCAAGACCGCTTCTCGTTTACTTTCCTGAGTATGCGGAATTTTCTTCTCGGCTTAATTTCAATTCATCTTGAGCAACTGTCTTTCTTTGAGAGCTTCTTCCAGGGTGCTGAAAGTTTTCCATGAAAAAGTTTCAGTAAAAACAGATTTATTTATATAAATGTCGACATAGGGATAGCTTTATACCTGGTAAAAATTGGCAAAGAGAGTCAAATATATTGTATCCTTCGAAACTTCTCGGAATTCTCTTCAGAAACTGAACTTTCCAGACGTCATTCTTTAGAAAGAAAGAAAGAAGTCGATATAAAGGACCTTTAATTAGAGCTTGAACAGGTGTACCATGCATGACGTTTCTTTTTCATTCTAATTAGCTGTATTCAATTTGTTCTAAAAGTGTGTGCTACTTTTTCGTTTTTAATTTTGTTTCTTTCAAGGCTCTAACATACGCACAAGGGATTTTTCTCAGGCTAATACGCAAATTAAGCTGTAAGCAAAAACAAAACAAAGAAAATCAAGTTATGAGGGCTCTCACAACTTTAAGTTCTCATTGATAGCCTTGTTGCGATACAGGGGTTTTAGCTCTGTTGTATGATTGGCTGCCAACTTAGTAGGAGGCCAAGTCCGTGTAGTTTGGGGGCAGTGAATCAGGAACGCACAAATATATAATTCAGCTAAAAAATGACTTTGATATTGGCGTGGGAATGTTTTATTTTTTATTTTTCATTTTACCATGGTGAGGTGTACATTAGCTTGCATGTCTCAGGGATTAATGTTGCCTTTCATTTAAAGAAATCAAAGCTGCATCAAGATGGACAAGATGAAGCAAACGTTTCACTTACTCTCCCTGATATCGCTGATATACTTATTAAATGTCTCAGTTGGGAAACAATGCAAAACAGCTGAAGTATCGATTCCGGGCAAAGCTCTCATGGGTTACACGTTTAAATCTTTGGCTGTGCGGGCGCCGTTTGAATGTCAAGGACTTTGTGAGAACACATTTCATTGTCAGAGCTACAACCTTTTGTTACCGGGAAAAATTTGTGAATTGAACAACAGAACTAAGGAGGCAAGACCTCGAAACTTTGTCACGGATGAAAATCGATTTTACGTGAGGAGCTGACCTAATAGAGGTATAGTTTTGATAAAAGTGGAGTATAGTTTCGTTTGTGCAGGACGTTGTCCCAGGAATTTTAATAAATGAAATAAGAAAAAAGCCAAATAGGTATTCAAATCAAAATTACGCTGCGGTTGTGGGAAAGTCTCACAGAACTTCTACTGAATAATTCTTACAATCTCCTTGAGATTATTGTTTTTGTAAAAAGAAAGTCGTTTTTGTTCAAGTTGACGAAATATATGCATGTAATCATTGCATGAAATCATTATGATCTCGAAAATTTTGTTATTTCTTGGTATGCATATTTAGCTCAGAAAATGCGTCTCCTTCACTGAAAAAAAAAATCAAACGAACGGTTTAAAATTTTAAAGCAAACATCAAATCTTGTTATTGGGTGTTCCATTGGTTTTTCTGTTGGAATCCAGTAAATCATTTATATTTTTAAAAAGAAAACATAGCGGTTTTCTTGTATGGCCAAGTTCAGATAATCTTTAGCTAGAACATAAGCATAGGTTTGTAATCGCTTTCCATTGTTGCACAAACATCTGACGCTCTCAAGAAGTGTGAAAGCAGCTTTTAATCGAGATACTAATAAGTGCCTCTTTTTAGGTTACTATTTCCTTTCTCTTGGTCGCATTTGCCTTTCACTACGACCACGTTCTTGCAAATATGAACATGCCAAAAAATAAAACATAAACAAAGATTTACACGACTAAAGCTGATTTAAAGATATTTGTTTGACGCGTTTCCATTTCGCCATTATTTCAAAGTTCCTCTTGGCACCATTCCTGAATTGTCTGCTGAGTCCTGTATGGAGATCGTCTCCAGCGAAGAAGACAAGGTTGTCAGCGGTTTGTACTGGCTTAATTTCAGAGAGCTGGGAATAATACAGGTAAATTCTCTCTCCGTCTGCAGAGAAATCGCAGTGATTTTTTAAATTGGTTAAGCATTTTTCTTTTTTGAGAAACTTCAACATTGATGCCTGCAAGTAAAATAATGGAGATCCTGTTCATAATGCATTTTCGTGGCACTTCGTAGTTCAGACATTAACCCACTACGCCGAAACAATTTAATCTTAGTGTCGCGACAATACGCTCATCCATATCGTTCGTCCACACGTGCGCATTTGAGCGACTGCTTCGCAACGCTTATCTACATGGGTAGGCAAACTGAAGAAACAGAATAATGGTTTTATTTGAAAATGCTTTGTCAATTCCGGGTTTTGTTTTCATTAAGTCGTCATCAAAGATTTCATTTAGTGGCTTGCAGTTCTTCCCCACTTTACAGTGCTAAAGATATTCTGTGAAGTATAAGCGTATTGGACTTCAACTTTTATGACTGAACTATTTTTTTATATATGAAGATCTGCCCGTATATTCTGATAAATTGATAAATGCTTAAAGGAGGACATTGATCATAAAAACTCGACCAAAACATTCGTTAAAACTAACGATATCGTTCTCGCACTCATAAATGGCGCTACTTCACTTACAATACAGTTTTTTGTCAGAGTTTTAAATGCAGCCAATCCTCGTCAACTGTTGGTTTTAAAATGTAAGTTATCGTGCCAAGTTTTTGTATTATTTCGACCCTCTAGGTATATTGTGACTTTACACATGGTAGAGATGGGTGGAACCTCATCGCTCGGTTCTCAAACACTGACGCTGTGCACTGGATGCTTGATTCTGGTTACTGGTGGTATGATAGAAGAGAGGCTTTCGGAGAAACTACTGATCCATCTGGCAACACTGACATGATATCACCGTTATTTTGGCTGCCTAACGGAAGTGATTTCAAGATCACGCGCAGCGATGATTCAGAGCATACTGCTCTATTGCAAACCACAGATAACTGTCCAGGAATACAGACATTCAGCTCTAAAGTCACAAACTACGGTGATTTCAGAAATGGCACAATTTGGCCCAATGCAAGGTGCTTAGGAACATGCAAAGTGCAATATGGTGGACAGTACCAAAGTACTGACGGCTTCGTGCGGGCTTCATGTAACGGTAGCCTGCAGGCTGCTGATGAGGTTCCGGCTCCGTGATCATGATTGGAGGAGGCGGAAATGGATGTGGCAAAAGTGGTCACGGCGTAGGAATTACAACGGCAAAAGAGGCTTCATTAGCAAAAAATGGACGGGCAGAAGATGATTTTGGAAATACCGCATGGGGCTTATCAGAACGGGGGTATTCATTAAACTTGTGGATAAGATGAAGAGAGGAAAAGTATATTTAATTGTATTTTAGAAAGAGATTATTAACTGTTTACAATCTCTTGATTTGAGTCATCATTCAAGGAGCTAATAATGGTGTATTCTATTTATTCAGGGCTTTATTCTTTTCAAAGTCTATTTTCGTTGACTATCCCCAGGTTTCGAACTGGAAAACTAGCATATATATCACCTTTTTTTTTTAACAGTAACTCTTTGCAAAAATAACTCTTATTTCCCTTTCTTGCTGCAATTGAAATAAATCAAGCAACAGGTTACTCCAGGAGCGGCTGGGCTTGCTCGGGAAGATGCAAAGTACAGTATAGTAGACATTGCTGAACGACGGATGGTTTTGCAATAGTTCAATGCAGTGGCCATATGCAAACCACGGATGAGATCAACGCATGTTGTCCGCCTGTGACCGGAGTGGTTAAGAGATAAACTGCTGAGAGGGAGGGTGACTGTTCTAAAGCTTACTATGGAGTAGGATTTTACAACATCAGCAAGCTTTGTTTGAAAAAGGAGATGGACGAACTAAATATGATTTTGTAAATACAGTAATGCTCTACACGCACGTACAAATGATTACACATTTACTCAGCGACTATTCGACATGCGTAACCTGAAACAAAAAAATAACAAAATATCTTTTGCTGGGAACACTATGTCCAAAATCATGATTGAAGCCCAACGAAAATCTTGGAGGTTTCCTGCTATGGCTATACTGTATTAGTTCAAGAGAGAGAAGTAAGCTCGTTGAGTATTCCTTCGCAAATAGCAAATGTGAAATTGTGATTTCTTGTATCAATCTAGATTTAGAGCTTTCTCTGATTTTTTTTCTTTGATTAGTAAATATTCGTTGTTTAAAGAAGAATTTGAAAACCATTCCCATTGCGTTCAATGTTTCCGTTACCTTACGGGTTCGTGAAATAAATAATGAGTTGATTAATTTGTAATTTTAGACCCGAAGCATGCTTTTCACAGGAAATTTTTTTTGTACTATTATTACCAAAATGTTTTCTCAAGGTTATGGCTGAAGAATTTTTTTTAAGAGTTTTCGAGGAAAAACACAAATCGATCAGAGGTAGAATTTAATATTTTGTAGGGAGACTTTTTTTTTTTTAGAAAAAGTGGGCTACCCATTTATTGCATGTAGTGGGAAACCGAGAGTATGGAGCTTGCTAAGTATACCGCAAGTTTAGGTTCTATTGCGTTCTCGTTCATCACTTCCCTCTCAGAAGCGCAGTTTTACAAGTCAGACTCTCATTTTTTCAAATGCATTGTTGACGAAGCCTTTCCCTGGAGAGAGTGTATGAGTAAAAAAATATTATCTGAAAAAGTCTACGTGATAATTTCCTTTGATCTAATAGTTAAGTCAGTTTTGATAAACGAGGATTATTTATGCGAATGAGTGTATTGAGGAAGGAAACAGGAGTGCAGATCAGTTTGACTCAAAACAGCGTACTCCAGAGAGAGATCAATGATATTCCATGATTAATTATTCCAGAAGATATTTAAAACAAAATGCAGAGTACTCGAAGAAAACGAGATGAGACAACACTGAAATTTTCTCAACATAATGTTTCTTTATTTCGGCTCAGTACTGCTATCTTTTTGTAGCTAGTCCATTCAACCTGCGGAGCCTATTCTTATGGAGAACTAGAGATCTTCGCAAAATATAGAGATGAGTTAAAATTTGGTTAAAGTAATAACAGGTAGTCCTTCGGCACACAATCTGAGCCCTGTGAAAGCAATTATGTAAATACCGGAGGTAGAAAAACTTGTCAAAATAAAAGAGGGTGTTATTAGTACTCATTTGTTATTTTCTTGGAGCGACTTGACCAGTTTGAGCGAGCGGATAGTGTGGGAAATGAAGTATTTTGAAGGGAGGTTAACTTGTGAGTGTTGTAAGTTAGGCGATAAACAAGAGTTTGTCAGTAAATTTGAAGGAAAGACTCCCCAGTTCATTACAAGTAGCGGGAGATCAGCGTGTAATGAAATATTTGCTAACAGCACGGCAGGTGTTGGTGGCATTTGTACAGATCACTTCAGGGCTCAAGCTAACCGGATGAGTTTGCTCTCCGAAGCAAATTGCGCTCTCCGCAGCGCATATTCAAAAGCCAGGTTTCTAGTTCAAGTTTTTAAAATGAAATATTTATGAAGCATTTTCCTCCCAAGAGTACAAGGCGCAAAAAGAATGTCTAGACAAGGTATTTCAGATCATATTTAAAACACGATACAAAATACTCAGAAGATGACTAAATGGAACGGAACTGAAAATGTTCTACATCGATGTTTCTTTGTTTCGGCTCAGTATCGCCAGTATAAGCTTCCAGTTGGACTCCGAGCAGAACTTCGGGGTGAACTTCGAGTTTAACTTCCGGTTCTGTTTCGAGTTTTATCTGGACAATTCCATCTAAATGCAAGTGCGAAAGGATTGCAATCAGTAGGAGCAAATTGATATGATTCTATTATTCTGGTTGATATTTGGTAATTTTTCCTTATATGTTATAGAGTAGCATGTACCACCGACTTTGAATTAAGTTTGAGCTCGAGTTGGACTTCGAGTTGGACTTCGAGTTTTAATTCACATTCGCTAATTTGTCTGTTCGTCTGTATGTGGTCTACAACTGCAGAAATGGACAGTTTCTTAGTATTCATTCGCAGTGAAAAATTGCGACACACTTTGTAGAGAACCAATACCGTTGTTCTAAAAATTTACGGCTTAAACCGGGAAAGAAAAAAAATATTCCCGATGTTACCTCGAATTCACCTGGCTATTTGTAAATATGAACTCATAACGTGGCGTTAAAAATGTATGGCAAATGAGATAATCCAAGCTTTTCCCTGTTTCGCGTCACGGTAAAATTCACACTACTAATATGTCTGCTTTTCTGTGGACAGTTTTCCTCTTTTTCAAAGGTGTATACGGCTATTATTTCATCGCCTAAATCAGAATTTACTTATTTGGCGTGGGATACTAGATTTATGTCAATTTGTTCTCTACTGATGGCAATCCTTCAGTACTTGCACTTAGATGGAATCAGTTACCTAGGTAAAACACTAAACATAACCAGGAGTTCAACTCGAAGTTCACCTCGAAGTTCCTCTCGGAGTCCAACTCGAAGAACATAATAAAACCTTAACCTACCGTGTTCAATTTTTACGAGCTTTCCAGTGATTAATAAACCAGTCGAGATTGATAGACGCTTGAAAGTTCCGTTGATATAAGACATTTCCCGACACAGCGTTGTTCAAGTTTGATTTGATTTATGTCAGCGTCCGCCCCATTACAAGTACTTTGCATCTTCCTGAGCAAGCCCAGCCCGGCTGCTGAAGGAATCTTTTTCTTAATGTATTTCAATTGCAGCAAGAAAAGGAAAGTAAGGAGTTTTTTTTGCAAAAAGTAACTTTTAAGAAAAAAGGTAATATACATGTTTGCCATGTTTGCCAACAGTCAATTTTTCAGTTAGAAACCTGTCGATAATCAACGAAAATGGACTATGAATAGAGTAAAAGCCTAGAATAAATAGAATAGAGCCATTCTTAGCCCCACTCCAGAAGCATTAATTATCATAAAGAATTAATAATCTCTTTCTAAAATACAGTTATATACATTTTTCCTTTCTTCATCTTATCCACAAGTTTAATGAGTAACTCCGTTCAGATGAGCCCCACGGACTATTTCCAAAATCATCTTCAGCCCGTCCATTTTCTGCACTGAATGAAGCCTCTTTTGCCGTTGTGATGCCTATCCCGTGATACGTTGTACCACATGCACCTCCGGCTCCTCCAATCATAATCACGGAGCCGCTCCAACCAATCTCACACCAAAAGCCAACCTTATCAGCAGCTTGCAGGCTGCCGTTACATGAAGCCCGCACGAAGCCGTCAGTAATTTGGTACTGTCCATCATATTGCACTTTGCATGTTCCTAAGCACCTTGCATTGGGCCAAATTGTGCCATTTCTGAAATCACCGTAGTTTGTGACTTTAGAACGGAATGTGTGTCCTCCTAGACAGTTATCTGTGGTTTGCAGTAGAGCAGTATGCTCTGAGTCATCGCTGCGTGTGATCTTGAAATCACTTCCGTTAAGCAGCCAAAATAACGGTGATATCATGTCAGTGTTGCCAGATGGATCAGTAGTTTCTCCGAAAGCCTCCCTTCTATCATACCACCAATGACCAGAATCAAGCATCCAGTGCCTTGTATCAGTGTTTGAGAATCGAGCTATGAGGTTCCACCCATGTCTAGCACGTGTAAAGTCGCAATATACCTGAAGAATCAAAATTATACGAAATATTGGCACGATAACTTAAATTTTAAAACCAACAGTTGACGAGGATTGGCTGTATTTAAAACTCTGACAAAAAAGTGTCTAGGGAGAGAAAGTAACACCGTTTATGATGGTGAGAAAGATATCGTTAGTTTTAACGAATGTTTTAGTCAAGTTCTTATGATCAATGTTCTCTCTTAAATATTTGTAAACTTCTCAGAATATACGGGCAAATCTTAATATGTCGAGTAGCTCAGCCGTAAAAGTTGAAGTCGAGTACGTGTATACTTCACAGAAAATCTTCCGCGCTCTAAAGCGGGGAAAACTTAATGAAAATAAAACTTGGAGTCGACATAGCATTTTCAAATAAGACTATCATTCTGTTTCTTCAGTTTGCCCACCCGTGTAGACATGCGTTAAATGCGCATACACGGATAAACTTACGAATGGATGGATATGGATGAGCGTAATGTCAAGACGCCAAGATCAAATTGTCTCGGCGTAGTAGTTGATGATATTTTCTGAATTACGAAGTGCCACGAAAATGCATGATGAACAGGATCTCAGAAAAAAAAAAGCTCGACCAATTTAAGCAATCACTGCGATTTCTCTGCAGACGGGGAGAGCAATTACCTTTATTATTCCCAGCTCTCTGAAATTAAGCCAGTACAAACCGCTGACAACCTTTTCTTCTTCGCTGGAGACGATCTCCATACAGGACTCAGCTGACAACTCAGGAATGGTGCCTAGGGAAACTGAAAAATGATGGCGAAATGGAAACGCGTCAAAGAAATATTTTAAATCAGCTGCAGTCATGTAAATCTTTGTTTATGTTTTTCTGATATGCTCATATTTGCAAAAACGTAGTCGTAATGAAAGGCAAATGCGACCAAGAGATAGGAAAGAGATAACTTAATGGAGGTAGTTTTTAATATTTTCACAGAATTTCGATTAAAAGCTGCTTTCGTACCTCTTGAGAGTGTCAGATGTATACGCAACAATGGAAAGCGATTCCAAAACCCATACTTATGTTCTCGCTAAAGGTATCTGAACTTGGTCAGACAAGAAAGCCGCTACGTTGTCTTTTCTAAAAATACAAAAGTTTTACTTGATTCCAACAGAATATCCCATGGAACATTCAGCTACAAGATTTGATGTTTGTTTTGAAATGCCAAGCTGTTCGATTAATTATTCTTTTTCAGTTAAGGAGACGAATTTTCTGAGCTAAATGTGCATACTAAGAAATAACAAAATTTTCGAGATGATTTTCCTAATTTCGTTTACTATAAGTCCTGGGACAACGTCCTGCAGAAGCAAAGCTATAATCCACTTTTATCAACACTTTACCTCTGTTAGGCCAGCTCCTCACGTAAAATCGATCTTCATCCGTGACAAAGTTTCGTGGTCTTGCTTCCTTAGTTCTGTTGTTTAATTCACAAATTTTTCTCGGTAAGAAAAAGTTGTAACTCTGACAATGAAAAGTGTTCTCACAACGTACTTGACATTCAAACGGTGCCCGCACAGCCAAAGATTTAAACGTGTAACCCATGAGAGCTTTCCCCGAAATAGATGCTTCTGCTGTTTTGCACTGTTTGCCAACTGAAACATTTAATAAGTATAACACCGATATCAGGGAGAGTAAGTCAAACGTTTTCTTTATCTTGTTCATCTTGATGCAGCTTTGATTTGATTTCTGTAAATGAAAGGCAACATTAAACCCTCAGACATGCAAGCTAACGTACACCTCACCATGGTAAAATGAAAAATAATAAAAAAAAACATTCCCACGCCAATACCAGGATAAATTTTCAGCTGAATTATATATTTTGGTCCAGCGCGTTTCTGATTCACTTCTGCCAAACTACACGGACTTAGCCTTCTAATTAACTAGGCATCTAATCATGCAGCACAACTAAAACCCCTGTATTGCAACTAGGCTATCAATGTGAACGTAAAGTTGTAAGAACCCTCAAAACTCGTGTTTCTTTGTTTTGTTTTTGCTTACAGCTTAGTTTGCGTATTAGCCTGGGAAAAATCCCTTATGCATATATATTGAAATTAACCCGAGAATTGAAAATTCTGCATACTCGATCAAGAAAGAAAACGAGAAGCGGCCTTGTTCGCTAAAATTTCCCAAACTTTACATCTAGAGATAATTCAGGAGAGACAATATAAAAATACGAGGTAAGAAATGCATCAATGCATAGCCCAGAAATTCGGAAAAGCAGAGAAAAATCCAGCAAGTGACTCTTCGGTTAGTTATAAACTTAATCTGCTCTGATTTTAATTAGCAGACCTGTGTTGCATGTGAAAATTTAGTTTGAACCACAAAGAAATAACTTTTCAGGCTTCCTGTTTGAAAGATTTTCGGTCAGACGTAAAACATCATCGATCGACATCGAATCTACGCGCGCTCCTGCATTATTCTCTAAACATCTTATATGATACAAATAACTCAAATATCATAAATATCTGCTACGCATTCTCTACTATTCTCGAGAAAATAACAAACGAGTTTAGTTCATATTCCATTGAAACGTATATATCACTCACTCAATTTACTTTGCCAAGACCTCAATCTTAATCTATAGGACTTCCAAAATGGGAATTATGTTTCCTTATAATAGTTTCCTGACCTTCATTAATACTTACCGCAAAATGAGGGTATTTTAAATTACATTCGGGATAATTCTTTCGACTAATTCCACTTGTTAAATTGAGTAACTGGCATCCAAGCTTTAGCAAGGCCAACGAAACTCTCAGAACATTTGGCCTCTTTTGTAAAAATGAAAGAAATAAAATATTTATTAGCGACGAGACAGGCGCCAATGGACCAGCTTCTTTTGTACTGTTAATTAATGAATAGAACCTCTTGTCTCTGAGGTTTAACTAATTGTATCTTTGCCAGTTTGCGGAGCCCTCGAAGAGAGATGCCAGAAATTTTTGGGAAAGCATATTTTTTTTACGATAAATTTCAAAGGAACCAAAGCTTTTGCAAGTTTCTCAATCCCTTCGACTTTTTGCATTCCCATAGTTAATCCAAAACAAAATTTAATTGAAGCTTTGCATCGTGAATTTGTTTACAAGAGTTATTGACGTCAAAAGAAAAGTTTAACCAAGAGAAATAAGCACTTTCGGTTTTGCCTCTTCCTTACTGAATTCGCATACTCGGCATTTTTAAAGAGAGAATCATAGATCTGCTGTGGCGTATGATATGGTATGATATATACATATATAGGAAGTTTATGTTTCGGTTTCCCCGTATCACAGTGCTGGAGACATAGAAGTAGAGCGTATGAACTGGTTAAGGAAAAAACAAAGAGATTACGCTTTATCCCGAAAAGCCTGTTTCGTGATAGAATCACTCTACAGGGGATTTTAATGGCAAGAATGTTTGTAACCATCGTTTAAAGACAATAAAATTTGCATAATAAATGTGGCGGTAAATTTAGATGCTTTGTTCAGCTGTTACGCAGCAACGCTTTGTCTCTGTGACATCATGAAGACACGAGTTCATTACGTTTGTCAAGTGATGACAAATCAGGTCGGCAGATGATTAGGAATTTTCTTTAAGGCAGAGGTTGCATCTTTTATTTGCGCTATTGTGGGGTGAGCTTAATAAAAGGATACGCTATGATGGCAAAACAACTGCAACTGCCAATTCGACGGAAACTGCCTTCAATCATCAGTTACCTATCAAGCCACCGTCACACGTAAGGACAATAGCAGGTACATAGGACTTACAGAAAACGACCATAAGACAAGATCTAGAAAACAAACACCATCATTGTTACACGCAAAACACAGAAACTCTACCGAACTCAGCAGACGTGTAGAGGGAAAACAAAAGTAGGCTGAACAGTCCAAAACCAAGAGTTCCCATCCTCGGCCTTGCACAAACAGTTTCCAGTGGCTCACCCTTAAATGGACCGATCCCTGGGCTGCATCGCATTGCTCGCCTTAAGGTTTATTAAACCTCTTTCATCTTCATCGGCCAGGCTGGCTTGAAGGCCGGCCACAATCACCATAATAAAAACCTGGCAGGTAACCCCTCCCAAGTCTCTTTCTTTGGATTCTCGACCACTCTCCTATCACCGGATGTCACCCGCTAACTGAGTTGTGGCTGGGCATGAAGCTGGCCGTCAATCTTACGAGACAGTACGTATGTTTGACAAGTCCGAGCAAATGTATTGTGGTCTGATGAGTTTGAGTCTAATTTTGAAATAAAAGTTCTTTTCGGAAATAAGAACTAAGGACTAATGTTCCTTATCTCAAGTCGTCATATCACCTCGACAGAGTTCAGAAGTTCAGTTTGCCACAAAACTGCTGCTGCAGCAACTATTACCACTACTGCACAAATACAACTTCCGTTTTTAATACTACCATTATCTCCATTATTACTACTACTAACAATAGCAAAACTTCTACTTTTGCTACTACTACGAACAACACAGCCATTATCAATGTATTTCCTACTACTAACGGCCGTTTATGATCTACACTCTCGTACACAACAGTGTTGGGGTTGTACTTGTCACTTCAGATTTCGAATGTTCTTTGTTTAGAGTGTGATATTGTTACTTTTGTTGTTGCCAGCTGCAAGTACAAGGTAGTACCATCAACCTTGTGCCGTTACCTCATTAGTACCGCAATACCTTAGATAACAATCTGGTGTTAAGTGAAGATTATAAAGAAAATAAGAGCCACAATTCCTTACTTCAATGTTGATGCTCCAGAGACAACAAATTGAATTCCAGTAAAAGCAGACCTGTCTTGTAACTTTTCCGTCAGCTGTAGTAGGATGGAGTCCGTTTAGCCAACCAGTTGAATGTGCACCACACCTGTAAATAGGTGTGCAAGCGGTACGCATACGCGTACCTGCGGCATCCTTGAATCGATACCAGCCATAGCGGACACATTCTAGAATAATAAATTTAAAGGTATGGTTACAAGTATATTTACCCATTTGTGTTAATTAACATTGGATTAAAATAGTATGTGCGATTATGTCAACTAACAAGGTTTTAATGATACTTCCACGACGCCCGCCGGTCTAATGCTGACTTTAGGGTCTTTGATCATGTTTGAGTAAGACGTCACGAGGTGTTCTAGGACTATAGCTTTGTTTCCACATAAAACGCAATGATTGATTTCAATTATCAGGCGAAATTGCCCAAAGATGACTTTTATTATTAGTGATTATTCACGAGAAATTATATATATATATATATACATTTAATGAGTGTGATTAGAATAAAAACTGGTATTATTGATAAGCAGACTTAAATGTCAGATGGAATTCTTGGCACGACATTTCGTAATGGTTTTCAATTTCCCGCCCTAAGAACGTACAGAGAAGTAACAGTGCCTCTTCCACTTGGCAGTAGTCTTCATCCACTTAGAATGGGTCAGACCCTTGACCGTATTTAGCACAACAACTAGCCTTGGTTGCACCGAAAAAGCAAGCAAGGTTTGCCCCTTGGAAATCCCAGAAACCTTTGAGCAAACACGAGAATCCGATTACTAGCAACTCGCTCATAAATCCTTACTCCACTTCGAAAGGGAGGTATAACATGGTAATTTGGTATAATCAATGGAGTTGATAACGTAAATTGGCCACCATAAAGAGTTTCAAAGTGGATCAGCCACAAAACGATTGCGTATCAAAATTTTACTCAATATTTCATTGTTTTACTTCGGAAATTTGCATGCATTTGCTTCTATTTTCAACAATTAAAATAGGAACTAAAAGTACCCAAAAAGCAATAAAGCATGTATCACTTAAAAGTAAAGTACAGGTTGTTATTGGCCAGTCAACAATTTGTTAAACGTAATCACAAACAAATGCTAGCTTAATTCAGTTATTAAAAGAACAGGAATCTGTTGGTCGACAGAAAAAGTTATACCAGGGAACTCTTATCTATTTGCGTTAGTATTATCCAGATGATTGGAACTTTTTCTCTCTTTTTTTCTTTTTTTTTCCAGTTGTAGCTATTTTGAAATACGTCTGTCCCCACCGGAAAGTATGCATTACTTCATACCTCAAAAGACATAAATAAAGCAATCATTTTTGTCTCTAGAAATTTCAATGCTTTACTTTAGTAATCATGGTAAACTGAGGCGAATTTTTCCAAAATCGTCACACGATAAGGTTAACACGAGTCCTTGCGTGATGTACTCTAAGAGGAACAAGCGGATACGGAATATTCTTTTGGACCAATACAATGTAGCTGCTACAGGAAGCATACATGATTTTCGTAGTGCTTCAATATTTTTAACAGCGTGTTACCATCAATGGATATACTGTTATGCCTATTTCAGTTTATGCATTACAAAGGGATGCTGAGTTAGATAAGTGATTATTTGTATCTACCTAAAGCGTAACTGTATTTACAAAATCATATTTAGGCCGTCCATCCTCCTTTCAAACGAAGCCTTTATTGTCTCTATATCTCCCAGTCTGTAGCGAGCTTAATCGTTTAACCACTTCGGTTTATCTCATCATTGTCTTGCTTATGGCCCCGGCATGGAACTGTTGCAAAAGCATCCTGCGTTTGATAATGTCTACTATACTGTGCTTTGTATCTTCCTGAGCAAGCCCAGCCGCTCCTGAAGTCAATTGTCGCTTGACGTATTTCAATTGCAACGAGAAAGGGAAAGTAAGAATTGATTTTTGTTAAGAGCTATTGTTAGCGATAAAGGCATTCTTCACGTTTGCCTGAGATCAAAGCAAATTTACCAATTCAAAACCCCACGATAGCTGAAAAAATGGACTCTAAATAGAATAAGCTACGATTACATAGCCAATTGAACGATAGCTAAATAATATCTCCCTGCAGCTTTTTTTAAAGTGATACATGCTTTATAGCGGAGTCTAAATAAATTTGTTGGGTACTCTTAGTTCCTATTGTAATTGTTGAAAATAGAAAAAAGTGCAGGCGAATTTTCGGAGTAAAACAATGAAATATTGAGTAAAATTTTGATACGCAATCGTTTTGTGGCTGATCCACTTTGAAACTCTTTATGGTGGCCAATTTACGTTATCAACTCCGTTGATCATACCAAATTACCATGTTATACTTTCCTATCGAAGTGGAGTGAGGTGTTATGAATGATTTGCAAGTAATCAGATTCTCGTGTTTGCACAGAGGTTTCTGGGATTTCCAAGGAGCAAACCTTACTAGTTGTCTTTTTGGTGCAACCAAGGCTAGTTATTGTGCTAAATACGGTCACGTATCAAGAAATGGCTCATTGTTCCGGGTCAACTTTCCAAACAAAAGTCCTGAGTAATTGGTAGTCCTGAGGGACTTTGGCCGAAGGGAGGCGGAAAAGCTCGTAGCTGATCGAGAAAATTATCGGAGCGACAATTTTGCTGCACTGGGGGAGTGGGTAGGGGCCTGACCCATTCTATGTGGATGAAGACTACTGCCAAGCAGGAGATGCAATATTATTTCTCTGTAAGTTCTTTGGCCGGGAAATCGAAAACCGTCAACATACTGAGAATGCTGGCGTGGTTTGTAACAATAAGATTTGTCACAAACAAAAACCTGATATGCAAGAAACAAACAGTTTTTTTTCCACAAGTCATTTTGTGGTATTGCAATGCACGACCTTTTTTCCAGCATGCTCCTATTGACGTAGAAGCGACTTTTTGTCTCTGGGTTAAGGTTGTTGGTGGCTGTGATCACACTTCAGTGGGCTACAGTGAGGAATTGGAAATAATAGTTCAAAAGTCGAATTACTTAAGTACCTGTAAAGGCAATCTTCAAGATTTATGTATGCAAACATTGTTTCTATACATGTCTCAGCTGCCTCTGAACGAAGCAGCCTGGATAGTCTTAAACTAATGCAAGCTTGTATCCTAATGGGTACTAACTGATTTTTTACTGGCAGAAACGAAAAGATTACATTCTCCTCATGAGGAAAATGAAAGAATCCACTCTTTTAAAAATCAGACTTATGGACGAGGAAGTTATGTATCTATTTTCATTTTCTCTTCATTACCTTCACCTTAAAGGTTGTGCTATAGGGTACGAGTTACAAAAAAGGATTTCTCGCGCTACACCGCTGTACCTAAAATCAAATCCCACGTAACATTGTACCGGTAGCTAGTTAACTTTTGATTTGGTAACACGTTGTTAAGTTTTATATCGTTTCAAATACACTTTATACATAAGCCAAAATGAAGAATATCTGCAAGATCAACTTTTACGAAATGCCTGCCAAGAATTCCGATCACCTCTTATATTAAACAAGCAGTAGCCTTGACTTAGATTTCATGGAGAGTCTTAAGTTAAAAATGGTCTCGTGCAACATGCCCTTGTTAATGTTGTCGTGGCAAAGTTGCCATGAAAGTTGTCTCGTGTAACACAAACGATAGCAAAACATCGATGACGATGACAAAAAATATGTCAGGTCCGACCTTGTTTCATCTTTCAAAACGATACCTTATTTAATCTCTTTTCTTTTCTTTTTGTTTTCGTTCTTTTTTGATTGTAATTAGCAATTTGGCACCATTAAATTTTGTTTTTTCCTAAGCTTACGACAACGTCGAATGTGGAATAAATAATTAGACGACCAATACGAGGGATAGTTTTTGAGCCAAAGAATGCTTTACATTGGAAGTTTAAGACAACCTCGTTTTAATTTTTACCATTATCAACATTTTTTTCAAGGTTAAGACTTAAAAATTCTTACTAAAAGTTTTCGATCAGAAAAGCAATGAGAAAATTTGTACTTTCCGTGACTGTTTTGTAGCTAATCCATATATCCCGCGGTTTCTATTCTCATAGAGAACCAAAGATCTACGACAACATACTGATGAGTTAAAAATTGATGACAATATCAACAGGAAGACATTCGGCACACAATGCTCTCAAGATGTATTTTACCATCTTCATCGTTTTTAATTCGTTATTTTGTTTGAGGGAGCTGATTCATTTAGTGTGGTTA